CTAACTTCTAAAATTGCATGCGCCATGAATTGCAAATTGAAAGAGATATCAGCTCCAAAATGAAATATTTTATCGTTTTTCATCAGAACTTTCCTGAAAGACTCGTCATGAAAAAAAAATCTCGGTGAATCATTTAATTTTTTTTGGTGCTGCATCACACCAGTATTCAATTGGGTTCTACATTCATAGCAAGATTACGCCGCCTTTCAGGTAGATGTTACTCAAAGAAAGTTCCGCTGATTTCTATTTTCAAATTCTGTAAATTAATGCTTCCTAAGCAAACCACATCGCAATTCAAAAAGGCGCTCAGCTTCATGGTCATCAAAGTCAATCAAGTGCTTTAAAGTCAAGCGCAGAACCTAGCAACTCCCCTTCTTAAAAGAAAAAAAAATCATTTTGTCTCGTGTTTTAGTAAATCAAGTAGAAATCTGAAAGGTGCACGTGGTTTTTATACGTCAATCTTCTCTCCTTCTCTCTCTTTAAATGTATATATATATTAAGTATATATGTAATCTTGGTGACATCTTGATCCGAATGGGGAGGGGGGGGGGTGTTAAGGAATTTGTCACCTCTTTCCTGAACCTCGAAAAAAAATAATAGAAATGCTTGTAAATCAAAAGAAAATTATTTTTTGTAACGAAGCATTTAAAAGTCGTACAAATTTGAATTTTCTTGTCCTAAGCAAGGATAAACCAATCAAAATGAACTTAGTCAATTGTAGTTCTAAATACAGAGATACCCTCTTTCCTTTTTATCTCTTTTGGTATCTTATTTTAGGCCTATATTATATTAATTTTGGAATCAATTATTAGGAATATCATAGCTTTAGAGGAATTATCCAACTGGATAAAATGGAACTTTTTTTAGTGCGGCGCATGATGCAGCTTTTTGGGTGATGTGTAGACTACCTGTCAACATGTGAAACTGTGAATGTTTACGCTCAGTGTTCTGTCTTAAAAGCCGCATTTTTCCTCTCTCATTTGTTGGGGTCAATTTTTGTTTTAGTAATTAGCGGCCGAGAGTTCACTTAATTAATGTAATCAAGTGTGCGAGAGCATTGGGGAAGCGCTAGTCTATGTTCGATCGTAAGTCTTGAAAATATCTACTTTTCGTTTCACTATTCACAACCAAAGGAATTGCAAGTCTGCATACAATAGAAAGTCTACTTATTCAATCGTAAGTCTTTGCCACCAGAAGCATATAAAAGGAGGATTGAAACTGAGAAACAATCATACTTTGTACAACGCTCTACACAAGTACTTCACACAACGTTAGTAGACACTATAGCATGGCTGTACCACCAGGCGGTCCCATAGAGATTTGTTTCTCGTTTGATACAACTGGCTCAATGTCAAGTTCTATCAATGCGGTTAAACAGAATGTCCAGGAAATGATTCAACGACTGCAAACGGATATCCCCGGTATTAGAATCGCTGTATTTGCTCACGGAGATTACTGTGACAGAGACTCATCTTATGTCACCAAGTATGTAGATTTTTCCACGGATCTGAACGAACTGTGTAACTGGGTCAAAAGCGTTGGGTCCACTGGAGGCGGGGATTCCGATGAGTGTTATGAGCTGGTCTTGCACCAGGTACAAACTTTGTCTTGGACACCTGGCACACAGAGGGCGCTGGTGATGATAGGAGATGCCCATCCTCATGACGTGAACTACCCAGACAACAAACTGAAATTGGACTGGAAGGAGGAAGTGGAAAAATTAGCAGTCATGGTAAGAAAATCATTTTAGTTTAAAGGTGAAAACTTAATGCCGTTTCTTTATTTCAAACCTTCACTGTTTTAGATTCCTGTCTTTCTTATTCAAGAGTATAAGTATATGTCGTCTGTATTTCAGGGTGTGCGAGTGTACGGTGTACAATGTAGAGCTTCTAGTGACAAAAGAACGAACGACTTCTACCAAACACTGGCCGATAAGACAGCTGGCAGACGAGTAGAACTGGAGCAGTTCTCCAATCTCTTTGACTTCATTATGGCCATCTGCTACAGAGAGCAAGGAGCAGAGTTCCTGGATATCTATGAACAGGAAGTACGCGCCAGAGACGCTGGAATAGGTGTTCATAAGGATTTGAATGCTATGTTCGGAGCACTCAAAGACGATGAACCTTCCACATCTTCATCCAGCGTGGAGACTTCATCTTCCAAGTCCAGAACACTTCCCTACAAGCCGGCCCTGAAAAAGCTGCCATCTCTGACAAAAGCAGCCTCCATCACAAAGCTGAAGAAAAAGAGTACCTCCATTCACGCAGTGAGGAAAACAATCGTCAAAAAGACCGTTCCTTCTGCAATGGATAGAAAGAGAGCTAAACATCTAGCCATTTCATGCCAAAAGGTATTCAATCTCAAATACGTATCATTTTTCTTTCAATTCATGATATTCATATCTTGCATGTATATATAGTATTCAATATTAGACTTTCATATAATAGGTACATAATTTATTTCAGCTAAACACACTAAGAAAGCTGAAGAGAGAAAATGTTGCAGAGACAAATTTTTCGATGAATAGAATTCATTGGTCCCCGTGGGAACTAGTTATTTCTCCCATTAAACCAGAGGATGACTCGGTGTGGACAGAAAGACATCGAGGAAGAAAGGGTTTCAGAAAATCCACCGTCTGCGGAGGAAAGACATTCCCTGCCGCTGTGTACGAGTTCTCTGTGAGGAAACCATCTGATTCTAAACGTTATGTTACCTACTGTAAACTTTCCTCGGGATTCACCAGTACACGATGCTGGGAATCTAGACTCTTGTCCGATTCTGACGTTCGATCTCAAGTGAACAAAGTGGTGTCTTTGGGATATTCTGTCTTTGTTCGTAGATGTTTGGTAACTGACTCTAACAAAAACACCATTAAGAAATCCCTTCTCAGATATGACTATGCATGGAGAAAAGTGCGAAATGTAAGAGACTCTCACAGAAATATTCAGTTGATGGCAGCCTCAAATTAACATTGTATTCAAAATGTCTATTCTGTTGACATTTATTTTCACTTATACTGTTTTAGCGTTGACAATTATTTGATTTTAATGTAAATGTAAATAAAAGAAACAAAAAACATGAACTGATTTTATTTGTGTGAAAACTATGAAGGTTGAAGTATTTAAAAACGAAAGTGAGCGCAGTTAATACTTAGCTTTGAAAAAAAAAAATCATGATGGCGATAATGAAAAGAAAGAGATCGGGAGGAAGAAATGAGCAAGAAGTGTTTTACAAAGAGTAGTGTACAAACAGATATTATTTTGTTTGATTTCAATGTCTAAGGTTTGTTCTGAAACAAAATGATTTACATCAATCAAATAAATTTTATTCCTCAGTGTTAAACCATATCCATATTTAAAGCATTTATGCTAGCTATATATTTGATAAAAACTTCAAATGGGATCCCAAGACATTTTGAAAAAAATGATTTTGTCCACGTTTTGCCTCAGATTTGTTTGCGGTAGCCGCTGTTTTGTACAAATATAACCTAGGATACAGTGTATCTAATGATCAGGTGCTTGGGATGTATAAAGCGCTCTACATTAAGAAAGCTCATAAACTTTATAAATGCATGTGTTTGGTTATTTCAATTTTAATCCATTTTGTCTCGAGTTAACTCCATTCCAATTCTTAAGATAGGATCCTCTTTGAATCATGTCGGCGACTGTGACAACATTCTGTGCAGTTTTATGCCCTTTTATTTCGTATTACTTAATACTTTTTATCTGGTCGCATAAAAAAATACGGGAAACATGGCTAACTTCTAAAATTGCATGCGCCATGAATTGCAAATTGAAAGAGATATCAGCTCCAAAATGAAATATTTTATCGTTTTTCATCAGAACTTTCCTGAAAGACTCGTCATGAAAAAAAAATCTCGGTGAATCATTTAATTTTTTTTGGCGCTGCATCACACCAGTATTCAATTGGGTTCTACATTCATAGCAAGATTACGCCGCCTTTCAGGTAGATATTACTCAAAGAAAGTTCCGCTGATTTCTATTTTCAAATTCTGTAAATTAATGCTTCCTAAGCAAACCACATCGCAATTCAAAAAGGCGCACAGCTTCATGGTCATCAAAGTCAATCAAGTGCTTTAAAGTCAAGCGCAGAACCTAGCAACTCCCCTTCTTAAAAGAAAAAAAAATCATTTTGTCTCGTGTTTTAGTAAATCAAGTAGAAATCTGAAAGGTGCACGTGGTTTTTATACGTCAATCTTCTCTCCTTCTCTCTCTTTAAATGTATATATATATTAAGTATATATGTAATCTTGGTGACATCTTGATCCGAATGGGGAGGGGGGGGGGGTGTTAAGGAATTTGTCACCTCTTTTCTGAACCTCGAAAAAAATAATAGAAATGCTTGAAAATCAAAAGAAAATTATTTTTTGTAACGAAGCATTTAAAAGTCGTACAAATTTGCATTTTCTTGTCCTAAGCAAGGATAAACCAATCAAAATGAACTTAGTCAATTGTAGTTCTAAATACAGAGATACCCTCTTTCCTTTTTATCTCTTTTGGTATCTTATTTTAGGCCTATATTATATTAATTTTGGAATCAATTATTAGGAATATCATAGCTTTAGAGGAATTATCCAACTGGATAAAATGGGACTTTTTTTAGTGCGGCGCATGATGCAGCTTTTTGGGTGATGTGTAGACTACCTGTCAACATGTGAAACTGTGAATGTTTACGCTCAGTGTTCTGTCTTAAAAGCCGCATTTTTCCTCTCTCATTTGTTGGGGTCAATTTTTGTTTCATTAATTAGCGGCCGAGAGTTCACTTAATTAATGTAATCAAGTGTGCGAGAGCATTGGGGAAGCGCTAGTCTATGTTCGATCGTAAGTCTTGAAAATATCTACTTTTCGTTTCACTATTCACAACCAAAGGAATTGCAAGTCTGCATACAATAGAAAGTCTACTTATTCAATCGTAAGTCTTTGCCACCAGAAGCATATAAAAGGAGGATTGAAACTGAGAAACAATCATACTTTGTACAACGCTCTACACAAGTACTTCACACAACGTTAGTAGACACTATAGCATGGCTGTACCACCAGGCGGTCCCATAGAGATTTGTTTCTCGTTTGATACAACTGGCTCAATGTCAAGTTCTATCAATGCGGTTAAACAGAATGTCCAGGAAATGATTCAACGACTGCAAACGGATATCCCCGGTATTAGAATCGCTGTATTTGCTCACGGAGATTACTGTGACAGAGACTCATCTTATGTCACCAAGTATGTAGATTTTTCCACGGATCTGAACGAACTGTGTAACTGGGTCAAAAGCGTTGGGTCCACTGGAGGCGGGGATTCCGATGAGTGTTATGAGCTGGTCTTGCACCAGGTACAAACTTTGTCTTGGACACCTGGCACACAGAGGGCGCTGGTGATGATAGGAGATGCCCATCCTCATGACGTGAACTACCCAGACAACAAACTGAAATTGGACTGGAAGGAGGAAGTGGAAAAATTAGCAGTCATGGTAAGAAAATCATTTTAGTTTAAAGGTGAAAACTTAATGCCGTTTCTTTATTTCAAACCTTCACTGTTTTAGATTCCTGTCTTTCTTATTCAAGAGTATAAGTATATGTCGTCTGTATTTCAGGGTGTGCGAGTGTACGGTGTACAATGTAGAGCTTCTAGTGACAAAAGAACGAACGACTTCTACCAAACACTGGCCGATAAGACAGCTGGCAGACGAGTAGAACTGGAGCAGTTCTCCAATCTCTTTGACTTCATTATGGCCATCTGCTACAGAGAGCAAGGAGCAGAGTTCCTGGATATCTATGAACAGGAAGTACGCGCCAGAGACGCTGGAATAGGTGTTCATAAGGATTTGAATGCTATGTTCGGAGCACTCAAAGACGATGAACCTTCCACATCTTCATCCAGCGTGGAGGCTTCATCTTCCAAGTCCAGAACACTTCCCTACAAGCCGGCCCTGAAAAAGCTGTCATCTCTGACAAAAGCAGCCTCCATCACAAAGCTGAAGAAAAAGAGTACCTCCATTCACGCAGTGAGGAAAACAATCGTCAAAAAGACCGTTCCTTCTGCAATGGATAGAAAGAGAGCTAAACATCTAGCCATTTCATGCCAAAAGGTATTCAATCTCAAATACGTATCATTTTTCTTTCAATTCATGATATTCATATCTTGCATGTATATATAGTATTCAATATTAGACTTTCATATAATAGGTACATAATTTATTTCAGCTAAACATACTAAGAAAGCTGAAGAGAGAAAATGTTGCAGAGACAAATTTTTCGATGAATAGAATTCATTGGTCCCCGTGGGAACTAGTTATTTCTCCCATTAAACCAGAGGATGACTCGGTGTGGACAGAAAGACATCGAGGAAGAAAGGGTTTCAGAAAATCCACCGTCTGCGGAGGAAAGACATTCCCTGCCGCTGTGTACGAGTTCTCTGTGAGGAAACCATCTGATTCTAAACGTTATGTTACCTACTGTAAACTTTCCTCGGGATTCACCAGTACACGATGCTGGGAATCTAGACTCTTGTCCGATTCTGACGTTCGATCTCAAGTGAACAAAGTGGTGTCTTTGGGATATTCTGTCTTTGTTCGTAGATGTTTGGTAACTGACTCTAACAAAAACACCATTAAGAAATCCCTTCTCAGATATGACTATGCATGGAGAAAAGTGCGAAATGTAAGAGACTCTCACAGAAATATTCAGTTGATGGCAGCCTCAAATTAACATTGTATTCAAAATGTCTATTCTGTTGACATTTATTTTCACTTATACTGTTTTAGCGTTGACAATTATTTTGTTTTAATGTAAAATGTAAATAAAAGAAACAAAAAACATGAACTGATTTTATTTGTGTGAAAACTATGAAGGTTGAAGTATTTAAAAACGAAAGTGAGCGCACTTAATACTTAGCTTTGAAAAAAAAACTTATGATATTGATATGGCGATAATGAAAAGAAAGAGATCGGGGGAAAGAAATAAGCAGAGTGTTTTACAAAGAGTAGTATACAAACAGATATTATTTTGTTTGATTTCAATGTTTAAACATGTCTGAAACAAAGTGATTTACATCAATCAAATAAATTTTATTCTTCTATGGTGGCCTCAAATTAATTGTATTCATGTTTGTTGAAACATATTTTTACTTATTTTGTTTCAGTTTTGACAATTTTTTGGGGTTATAATGAAAAATGTAAATAAAAAATATTTCTATAGTGGATAACGGCCTCAAATTAACATTTTATTCATGTCTATTCTTTATAATTTTTTTTTTATATACTTTTCGACAAATGAGACAATTTTTGCTGTTTCGGAAAAAAATGTAAATGAATGAGAAAAAAAACACAATTGATTTTTATTCGTGTTAAATTGTAAAGGTTCTAATTTTTAAAAGGTGAAAAAGAGCGATTAATTAACCCTCCTTCCATTTTATAATCATGATATTGAAATCGATAGATCAGCAGGAGTTGAACAATTAAACAAACCGCTTTTTTCTAACAAAGTATAGTATTACTTTTTGGTGTAATTTCGTTGGAGTTTAATGTCTTAACATTCTGAGATACTTTATGAATTTTTAATTAAAAGTAATAAACCATATCAATATTACATTTATTCCATTAAGTTAGTCATTGATTTGATAAAGAACTTTAAATCGGGTTTCATAACCTTAAGAAAAAAAATTGTCAACATTTTGTCACAGGTGACCCCTGGTTGTACAAATATGACCAAAATAATCAGACTTTATCACACGGTGACGGTTTCAGTGCTGTTTTATGCCTTTTTATTTCCTATTACTTAATACCTCATTTCCCGTCGCTTTAAATGAATTCACAGGAAACATGTCGAACTTTTAAATTTGCATGAGACATGAAATGCAAAGTGAAAGACTTAGAGCCCTTAGAACCAAATGAAATGTATTTTTTGCTTCATGCATAAGCTACTGATAGTTCTCCTAGCTCAGATAATTTATTATCATGCCCTTGCAGTACAGAATATTTATTTCAGCCAAAGAAGACCAGAGCAGATTATTTATTTTCAAGGACAGATTATTTATTTCTAAAATTTTACAACCCCCTCCCCTCAGAATCGAATGGACGCCCCCCAAGTGTGCTGGGCCATTGGGGAAGCGTTAGTCTGTCTTCGATCGTAAGTTTTGAAATTTTACGTTCTTCCAGTCTACTTTTTCAGCGACGTCTGGTTTCTGAAGATTAAATTGCAGAAAAATGTACATGTATGTTTTCCGAGTTGCAGGAGGGGATATATCACATTTTGTGGGTGGATATGCATATGGTAATGCATACTAATAAATAAATAAACAACATAAGTCTATCTATAAACTTTGATTTTATTTTTATTTATTTTTAATCACTGTACGTTGCAGTGGTCTACTTGTTTTCAGCGGATAAATATTTTCTAGACTTACTGAAAGACATTGCATTCTGATATTTTTAGTACACCTTTGCCAATGACTTTGGACATGATCACTATTGGTTCTTCAACGCAAGGTTAAAAGGTTATCTTTAATCACTTATTCTTGTTCCCGAGAACTTGGTAAGAACTTTAGTGTCTTGTTTTCTGACTTCAAAAAGAAGTGTTAGACCAATAGTTCAAAGGAAATTTTAAGAAAGTGGAATCCACACAAGTCATGCCTGTATATATATTTTAGATAAATCTTGTGGATTTCTCTTAATTATGAAAGCCTTTGATATTTTTGAATCGTTTTCTTTTACATATAATTTTTTTAATCAACAGTAATGTTATATTATAACTTTTTCTTGAGGATTTAATGACGTATAGAACGTTTTCAATATTGTAGGAGTAAGGATGCATTTCAATATAGAAACATAAGGACGATAAACAAAACTGTTCACCGTCTGAAACATTTTGTCCTGTTTTGATAAATAATAGTGATCGCTCTCTCTCTCTCTCTCTCTCTCTCTCTCTCTCTCTCTCTCTCTATGAGGTTGTGTGTGCGTGTGCATTTTTGTTCTTTTTTTTCAGAGTTTGACCTAATTGTTACGTCATGATTGGCATTTGTCTAGTTCTCTTTTTGACCGGTACTTTGGCTGCTCCCACTAAGTATGTGACCCTTAAAAAGATCTTTTATTATCAGCAATTATGTATTAATATTGTATGTTTTTTTTTTGCTTCAAAAATCTTTTTAAGATATTTGATTTTATGAGTCATCGACACGCAAATGTGTCAATGATAAACATACTGGGATAGTAGATAATGAAGATGACCTTTGTATTATTATGTGATAAAAGATTGATAGAATAGGCGTACCTAATGGTTATTTTACACATTAAATATAACATAAATGAAATTTCTGAGCTGGAGACGCATCTGTTTCACTTTCTAGCCATACCCAATCACCATTACAACACTTTAAGAGCATCGTAAGACAGCAGGTCACAACCTTATGGCCGACAGTGGACACTGATGGAGACGGCCATTTTGAAGTGAACGACATGCATAATATCTTAGACGATTACGATGCCAATCGTAAGATTTTTTGGTAAACATTTGATCAGTAGGCTTTGTTTGTAAAAGCGTCAACATCCAAAAAAAGATCAAGGTCAATGGGCTGCAATATGTTAAACTATAATACAAATTATATCAAATCAAGAACTTTGAACATTTATCCACATATGTTGATGACTATTGGATAAGACACATTTCTATATTGATTTTAAAAAGAATGTTGCGGTGTCGTCAAATTGGTATAAACAGTGGAGGACGAGGATACACTGTGTATTTGCGAAGAAGGGAGACATCCGTTTTTGCACTAAAAACTATATTATTGTACAACGAGAACATATTGTTTGTTCTATTGTTATGTTTTAATGGATGACGTTTCTGTGGTTTCACCTTAGTCAGCATTTATGGTCTTAACAATCCTGAGATTACAAAATCTCAGTTAAAAGAATTAGAGGTGAATTAACCAAACTGTCAAAATGTCGAATGATTAAGTCTTATTGCACTAAGGTTGAAACAAGATAATACAAGCCTATGAGCAATTTTTCATTAAAACATGTTTATGAGAGATTCTGGATTTTTGATTACTAAAGCATTTTGTATTGATTTATTTCTCGGGTCAGATTCTCATCATTGCCTTATAATCCGCCATGATTTTTTTAAAGCGCCAAAAGAATTCATTCATATTCCTTGATGTTCCTCCGTTGTAGATGACCACAAAGTGTCCCAACATGAATTCATCACCAGATTTGCTCCTCAATGTTATTGCACAGGGACTTTTCTTTGAGTTTGACATGAATAGGGACGGCTTCATTACTGTGTCAGACCTAGATCTCTACTACCAGAAAATTGATACCAATGGTGATTAAGAAAACATGTTTTTAAAAAAAATTATGAAAGAATCTACTGCTATAACTAATTCTAAAAGAAAATAAATATGTTTAAATTAACATAAAGAAGAGGGTAATTTCTTGTCGTGTACATACACACGTTTACCTGAAAATATTGCAAAGATCCAGTATTATAACTTTATTTTCGATAATATTTGACAGATAATGGGCATGTAGAAAAGGAAGAATTTGTACATTACTTTACAGAGGTATGTATACAAAGAATGAATGATAAATGTTTTAATATACAGTAATGTATCTTGTAAGTTTAAAGCGGCTCTCTCTTACTCACTCTCTCTCTCTCTTTCTCAGAAATATTTAGTGCATCTCAGCCTTTTTCTACTGTATTTCAGATCTTCACTATTCTGTACGTCATACAACTTAATCAAACAACGACCCCCTCCTCAGCAGCAGCACCTGGGGGTCGCTAGAAATGGAGAGAAGCAGATAATTTGTGCGACATTATTCTTTGTTCACTAATGTGCATATGGAATAAAGCAATTATTTATGTTTACCATTTTAAATATATTATCAATAAGTTGATAATTAATCAATAATGTTATTCTCTTCCTTTCAATAATAATTATTTTAAATGGCTTCTCTTTGGAAGGTAACTCTAATGAATTTAAAGATATTTTCGTGAACATATTAAGCTACCATGCAAGACAATTTTCAAAAAAATGTTTAGAGTTACTTCCCTTATAATGAGATTTCATGAAAGAAACGAAAAAAAAACTTTATATATATATATAGACATTTATTTTTAGTTTTCAAAGAAAAAGGTAACATTAAGGAAGCTCTAAACACTAAGGAAAAATATTTTTGGACTTTGAGAAATATCATAGAAAGATATGCATATTGCGTTTATCTAGTTTAGTTTGTAGGCAGGCAAAAGTGGCTCACATGAATTTCATATGAAATTTGCATGAGTATTTTGCAGATTCTTCGCATTACAAGGAGGTGAAAAACAACGAAGAAGGCTCATTGAGATTCAAGATTTAATATCTAAATTAACAAATTACAAGATTCGATTACTCCCCTTTGCTAAGATTTGCTAATCAAGAAATCGTTGTACAATGATTAAATGTATCAAAACGAAATAAAAGTAAATGATGGGTTTTGTTAAGCAAACAATGTATATTGTCAATATAACCTGATAAATGGTATGATATATTTCTATAAAGACTATCACGGAATGCCTACTTATTTACTGTTTTCAATTTATACCTGTGGGCAGGCGGTGTGATCATTAGAAATCTTTTTAGTGGAATTCTTTGAAAGCTGTTTTGCAGAAAGACAGATAAGGGTCGAATTATATTGTAGTTGATGATATTTGCCACTTGTAGATTATAAGCCTGCAATATATCAAGTGGCTGGCAACTTACAGTAAAAAAAGGTTAAGAAGTGGATAATGTT